TTAACCCTACCGTAGACCGGGGGGGGGGGCTAAAAGTGCCCGCGGCAACTTTGATGTCACCTAGCGTCTGAACGGCTCGCCGTAGAACGACCAAACTTGGTGACTTTTCCTAGAATATTGTTGGCAAAAATTCTCTATCATTGTAATAAGATAATGATTTTTTGTGTTGCCATGGCAACGGGTTTCTGACAGGCATTTTTTGCTAAATTTAGTACTTTTTGTTTCAACAATAGAATTTTATGGGTTTTATGTCAAGTTACTCATGGTTTCTAATTTTAATAACATCCCATATAATTTTATATAAATTTAACATTAAATATGCATAATTTATGCTAATTTGATGCCGTCATTGGCCAAAATCCAAGATGGCGGACCATATCATTAGAACAGGTATATACAGGTTATTTTCATTAAAATTTCATCAATACTTCCATTTCTTTTTCAAAAAAAGGTTTAAATGAAGGTCTTTAGTATTTTTACAATGTATTTTAGGCTTTATCATGAAAAAAAACTATTTTAGAAAATTCAAGATTGATGATCCAAGATGGCGGATATCTTAAATATGCATGACGTCATTTTATGACGTCACCGGTGTTGCTATGGGCAACATAAGACGGTACACCATAATATTCTGTCATAAACACTTTTGGTACAGTAATGTTGAATACCATTTAGTTTTCAGGGGAAAACCTATTTAGACGGTTTTGGCCGATAAAATCACATTGATGACATCATAATGACGTCATATTACGTCATAACGACATAAAAATTGTACATATGATAAATTTTCACTAGTACACCATTCTCTGAAAATTTGGTGGTCATATGACATACCGTTCGCGAGTTCTTAGGGGGGTCAAAAGAGCCCCCCCCCCCCCGGTCCCCCCATGTCAAAAAAAGCCCGGTCTAGGTAGGGTTAAGGTGTCCTCCCTGGCTAATTTGGCATTTTAGCTTTCCATCATTTTCTCACAAAGAAATTTAGAAAGAACTGTAGTTGTACTGAATATTGATACCTGGGTACAAAAGGGTTATGAATATGATTTTTTGGACCATATGGATGACGTCATCACATTTGATTGCCCCAAATGTAATTATCTTTAAAGCTATAATATAGCACTTTGGTACAAGTATTAGAGAATAACTAAATTTTAATTAGGCAATCAGGCTATTCTCTAATAACTACGGATAATTAGTAGATATCAATTTGTGCAAACGTACGTTTGTAGCTTTGACCATTATGCACATGTTTTATTTCAGTTACTTGTACCAAAGTGCTATATTATAACTTTAAAGATAATTACATTTGGGGCAATCAAATGTGATGACGTCATCCATATGGTCCAAAAAATCATATTCATAACCCTTTCGTACCCAGGTATCAATATTCAGTACAACTATAGTTCTTTCTAAATTTCTTTGTGAGAAAATGATGGAAAGCTAAAATGCCAAATTAGCCAGGGAGGACCCGACTCCCGACTTGCGCGATGCCTTCATTTAGAATTTTTTTCTGGGCCGGCCCACCGTTTTTAAAGCTTTTATTATTTTCCAACTAGGTACAATTATCCCTGATCTGGTGAATAATATAAGAAATGTATGGCGGTCACCATAGAGTTAAGTTGTTGTAATGGCGAAAAAATTCTTTATTCCACACAGCATGCCGCACAAGTGGATCAAACTCTCCAACTGACTGCATCGCCTGTAAACATCTGAAAGTGTCCTACCCCTACAGAAAGGGGCAGACTGGTGATTTCCAATGCGTCGCTCAGTGTCCGCAGCACATGGATTCTGATACTGCTACAAAATCATGTACATGTAAGTAATATGCAGACAACTATTTCCAAAGGTGTTTGTGTTTAAGTCGATAATTTGCTTTAGCTACTTTATATGATAACGATTTTAACTAATTTCAAGGAAATGATACAGAATGTAAATGCGGATATATGTGTTTGAGCAGCTATGCAAAACCTACAGTCAGGTGATGCCCGGAAAACGTACTTTCTGTTTTTAAAAAAATTGTGGCTTTGCACTGGTTACTGAAACGTAATGTAAGTACTGTTTGGATGTCCCAAGTCAGCTGATTATATGAGAAAAAAATCAACATGTCGTTCCGTCTGTGTGTTAATGTACGTAGATGCAGCTGCTAATTTAGTATAAAATGGTTATGTTGGTTTTACGTGTTTTTTTCTTCCAGGCATTAAGAGGATGGAGGAAGCCCGCCCTGATGGTGTACTGGACTGTGTGACGGAGTGTCCTCTGACCCACTTTGAGGAAAACAACGTGTGCAAAAGTATGTTAAACTAGAGTTCCACAATCTCATACCTTCGCCAAATGAAGTTAATCTTTATGACCGACAAATTATAGATTATTCCCTCTAATTATGCAAGTAGGATCCTCATTTCCGTGAATTGTATCAGTTGATTAATTATGATTATCACAGTCTTATCTTAACAAAGAATGTCATTCCACCATTTCCTGCATAAATTCTGCAAATAAGGTCCTTAGTTGAATAAGTTATGTTTAATTATGTTCACCTTCACTTAACTTAACCCTATCTAGACCGGGCTTTTTTTAGCTTGGTGGGACCGGGGGGGGGCTCATTTGACCCCCACCCCTCAGAACTCGAGAACGGTATCTACAATTTATATGTCGTTATGTATTTATATTATATTAAGCTATCCGCCATTTTTGACCATCAATCTTGAATTTTCAAAAAAAGGATTTTTCAGGATAAAGCCATTGTAAACAGACTGAAGACGTTCATATGAACCTTTCTTGTAAAAAGAAATGGAAATTTTAATGAAATTTTAAGAAAAATAACCTGTATATACCTGTTCTAATGATATGGTCCGCCATCTTGGATTTTGGCCAATGACGTCATCAAATAAGCATAAATTATGCGTTTTTAATTATAAAATTTACATAAAATTATATGAGATGTTATTCATATTAGAAACCATGTGTAACATGACATAAAACCTATCAAAGTCTATTGTTGCAACTAAAATTACTAAATTTAGCAAAAAATGCCTGCCAGAAACCCGTTGCCATGGCAACACAAAAAATTATTTTCTTATTCCAATGATACAGAATTCTTGCCAACAATATTCTAGGAAAAGTCACCAAGTTTGGCCGTTCTAGCGCTAGCCGTTCAGACGCTACGTGACATCAAATTTTGGCGCGGGCACTTTTAGCCCCCCCCCCGTCTAGATAGAGTTAAATACTAAGTACCCTAAGTATGGAATTTCTAGCAGTTACCATTGCTGAACTACAACATTTTCTAATTAATTATGTAAATTCTTATGTAAAGTCTTAATTTACAAAACCAATATCTGCCTGTGTATCACATATGCCACAAGCTTGAATATTCCTAGCATGTAATGCAACTGCAAATTTCCCCATAGATTATGCAAATTACATCCATATTTGTAAAATTTTTAAATGATTGTGTAAGGCATCTTTTCAGCTACCTACATACCAAAACCCATGTCGATCCGTCGACAGGTTCTTGAGTTATCTTCTTTTGAATATCTTTAAACATCCCTGCAGTTCTAGAGCAAGCCGCTAGGCGGCCCAAACTTACGACACTTTTTTTTCAGCACAGGAGCTACCTATCATCGAAATTTCGACACCCTAGCATGTCTAGGTCATGAAATATCAAAACCGAAAGTTCAACTGCAGTATCATAAGAAACCGCTAGGAGGTTTTAACCGGGTCCAAAATCTAATTATTTCCAGGTCTCATTAAGACGTAACCACCTACCAAATATAAAGTCAATCCATTTAAGTCCTCTCAAGTTATCGTGTTTACAGACACACACACATACACACACACACACACACACACACACACACACACACACACGCACACGAACATCCCTGGAAACAAAACCATCTTGGCGAAGGTAAACATTGTTTTTGAACGCAACAAATGTTAAAGTAAGCAATGCTGATTGTAAATGTGAATTAGATTCGACTGATTGTAACTTCAGTTTCAGCTTCGTGAATTCCACTTTTTATGGGTTCACCACACCACGAAGTGGTGGTGAACCCATATTTGCTTTTTCTGATGTTTCTTCTCCTTCTCCTCCTCCTCCTCCTCCTGCCATATCTTTAAATGGATTCAGCTTCTTCATTTTAGGGCCTAAGGTCCTGAAATTTGGTATGGAGGTACAGTGGGCAAATACCCCTAGGCGTTTTTTAAATTTTTGTGATACAGGCTTTTAGAATGGTTTTATTTGAGTTTTTTGGCTGTGTTATAGCAAATGTATTACTGTGTTAGTGTGCCGTGTTTACCACGTCTGGGCATGAGTCATCACAATGGAATGCAGGGCATCAACCAATAGGCATGCAGCTTTCCTCTATACTTCTTGCTGATTGGCTGTTGGGATTTAACTTGATTAACACCCACACAGAGCATTTCCACCTGCACAGAGCATTTCTTGCTGATTGGCTGTTGGGATTTAACTTGATTAACACCTGCACAGAGCATTTCCATACTGACAGTATGTCTTTATTCAAGTGTTTTGGTAGGTATTTCAAGCTTTTCTGCTCCAGCATTGGAATGCGGGGCATGAACGTTTTTTATTTTATTTTATTTTGAAAATCAACAGTTTGCATTATGCAATTAAAAATCCTAACCAATAAAGTAGGGAATAGCTATCCAACTGTTGTTTTAGTTGTATGTTACTTCATATTATAGTTATATCAATGTAAACAGGGTTCTAGCTAGCGCTAAGTAGCGTCGGGGCCCGCGACGCTAAAATTTTGACCCGCTACGCCAATTTTCCCCCGCTACGCTAATTTTCAGTACAACGTAAGGCATTGTGACTGCATTTCTTTGTTCAAAAATGCCAGATCAAATGTGAAAAATGTTTTTTAGCAAAGTAACGCACGTGGCGGCCCTCCCAGGAGAATGGGGCGTGCCTAGGCGGGGCCTTGGCTTCTTTACAACTTGTGTTGCCGCCCTTCTGTGAGTGACAGCGGCAGTCTCTTGACGCCCAGACACTGGCGTCAGGGTGTCTAGCCCAGTCTGTAGAAGGGATGTTCCGCCCCCTTCACAGTGTCGGCTTTCCCTCTGGGACGCCATATATGGGCTGGCCTATCTAACAATTCCCACGCCACGATGTATGTAGCACAAATATGTTTCCTCCCGTGTTCAACAGATCTCTCCTTGTAACTCTGGACATAAACACCTTCCACTAAATTGCATTAATTCTATATCTTGCCAAGGTGAAAAAATACAAAGAGTTACAATGTACTTAGTCACCAGCCTAATAATTAAAGTGCTTTACAGTTCTAGCAGGCTCCCGAAAAGGGGAGGGGCCTCTAAAGCCCACAGCGGCAAACTTGCGTTGGTTGAAAATTTGCCACTTTAGTAAACTAAACAAGGGAGTTCACCCCTTGGATCCGTTCATAGTTTAAACAAGTAAATACAAATTATTGCTCTCTTGTCAAATTTTTGCCGTTTTTCTTTACAGGCGTTTGTGATCTTTGTGACACACGTGGGTTTTCCTGCCACATATGCGTCAGTGCTGGTGCCATGCCGATTTCATGCTCTTAGCTACTGTGCGATCTATGTCGACACACTGGGTGTGCCTGTAATCATGTCAGCATCAAAGCTTGGCAATAACAACAAAGCCACGTGTTGAATCACGTCAAATTTCGGCCCAGTTTTGCAGAACTGAAATGGCACAAAGGAGATTAAAAGTGCCTCATAATGAGACACTATTAGCAGGCAAAACAGACGTATTTCTTATATTATTTATAGTTACTTTTTTTGCATGTAGAATATTACAACTTTGCACACCATGCTATGTTTAACATTTAATTTATCTCAGAGTCTGTTCTTGGTTGTGTCTGATTTGGAGTATCTTCTGTATTTTGTGAAGATTCCAAGCTGCAAAAATATAAAAATTACTAATCAAGGATACATTGTACATACCTTAGAAATGACATTTTTTCCCTTTGGGTATCCCTCAAATGGCTGCTTTTTAAGCTTAAATTTTTAAAAGCTCCTGGTAAATCATTGTTTTCCCTTGTGTTTCTCATTCTTTCCCTGCCATGTGGTGAACCCATCGCTGTATTTGCTCCAAAGCAAATATTGGCCTTTCTAGTTATATAAATTATTTTGTTTCCTTAAAATTGCTACTTGTAAGGAACCAGAAATATACCGTGAGTTAAATCACACAATTTGCCAGATTTATTCCCAGTAACATTTTCTAAAGAAACATTGTAAATCTAAGGTTCGTCCAGTGACTATATATTTAAAGTCACCTAAATTGCTTTTTTAACGTATTGAATACATTTACTTTTTAAGCAACAGCATTTTTTTCTATTTGTGCAGAATGCAACAGCTTTTGTATAGACGTCAGTAATAAGGGACAAAAGACCTGCTCCGGACCTGCTTCAACAGACTGTGACACCTGCAAGTATCAACATGAGGGGCGTTGTGTGCAGGGTTGCAGACCTGGGCAGAAAGCTGTTAAAGGTTTGACATATTGGCAAACATAAGGCCATTCTTCGTTAGGTAATAATAATGTTTGGTGAATGATGTATAATTATGTTTAACTTAAAATTGCGGAAATAATAAATTTAGCCGTGTTGAGGTGCAAACATGCCTTTATCTAGCTTGCTAAGAGGATGGTTGTAATGCTCAGGCGCAAACTAAAATACTGATCTAATTTGTCATCAGAACATCCGAGGATCAAATTCCTATTACTATTGCTATTGTGTTTAAAGGTGTCATCCATTCTTTGTTTGCCTGACTTAATTTATGTGTTACAAAAGGTACCTCGCTCATGGATGTCTCTTGCGTGTGCATTCATTTTTCTCTCATTGAAAAATCATCACTGCCTAACAAGCAGGCTATAGCTGTCATCATTCGTGCATATGACTTGCAAGTGCCAATCTAAATGCTTTAGTGCAGGCGATATATATATGCATTATGCAGAAGAGGTGATTAACAAACATAGCGTTCGCGAACAGACAGTTCAAGTTGGACGACAAAGCTTAGCTGTGTGGAGTGGCACAACAATGTTGTATGGAACTAGACTTGGCGTTCCTAATATTTTTATCGGTTGCTCTTTTTCACATATGGTAAGTTGTTTCTTTTTTCAGGAAATGACAACGCGTTCACCTGCCACCAATGTCAGCCCGGCCATGAGTGTAGGCTGGGGGACGAGCGGGAAGACATCTGTCCAGCGGGAACGGCAAGTAACGACAACAGGACAATGTGCGTGCCGTGTGCAGCAGGGGAGTTTAGCAACTCGTCGGGAGCGGCGTCCTGTCAGAAGTGTCCTGCCGGCAAATACAGTAGCAGAGCGGGATCGAACAGCTGCGAGGACTGCCCTGTCGGAACATACAGTAGCAGAGCGGGATCGAAAAGCTGCGAGGACTGTCCTGCCGGAAAATACAGAGCGGGATCGAACAACTGCGAGGACTGTCCTGTCGGAACATACAATAGCAGAGCGGGATCAAACAGCTGCGAGGACTGTCCTGTCGGAACATACAGCCACGAAAAAGGCTCCATAACTTGTCCGAAATGCCAGGGGTTTACCAATACCATAACAGGGGCCACAGGTTATCTTTGTAACCTTGTTGGCAGAAGGTAGCTCTTTCATGTGGCCCGGTCCGCTGCCATCGTTGCTGCCTCGCCAATAGTGAAGCCATGACTCCGCACTTCTTTTCCATACTTCTTCGCCATGTTTCCTTCCGTCCTCTCAGTCTCCTGACCTGAGGCGTCCATCTTAGAGCTGAGCTGGTGATACTATCTGATGGCATGCGGCATATGTGACCTAACCATCTCCATCATCTGTTTATCAGCATTTGGTCTATTGTCATAAGTCTTGTTCTTAGATATTGATTTCTATTGGAGATCGTTTTTGGCCAGAAGATTTTTACTTTTCTCCGTAGACATTTATTTTCGAAGATATTAAGTTTGTGTTTAATATAGGACGTCTCCTTCCAACATCCAGCCTCGCATTAGAGAACACTGAGGACGTTACTTCTGTAAATGTTGATTTTTGTCCTGGTATGTATCTGTTCATTCTTTCATACTGGCCGGAGGACTGCAAAAGCTTGGTTTGCTTCACTGATCATAAGGTCCACCTCCCTGTTCCTATGTCAATCAGTTATTTTACTGCCCAGGTAAGTGAACTCTTTGACTTCCTTTTGCTGTTTTCCATCTACTACAGTTGGTGCGTTATTTGGAGTGTTTTTCCCAATTTGAAAATTTAAAAAAGAGTAAGCTAGCTCCATGGAGGTAGCTCCGTGGAGGTAGCTCCGTGGAGGTAACTCCGTGGAGGTAGCAGACCCCTCTCGTTTTTCCTTAGGACTTGTGCCTTTCGTTTACCTTTAGCCCAATGGAGTTGGATGTTTCATTTAGTCTTCCTGTTTGCTCTTGTGCATCAGTATGTCTGCTTGAGAGGAGCCCCGAGTAATCGGCATAGTCTAGGTCTTCTAACACTGTATTGATCGTTAACTGTATGCCTCTGTTTTTATCTTTCATGACATTTTTTTTTTCATGAGGCAGTCAATAGTCAGAGAGAAAAGAAGAGAGGATAAAACACATCCTTGTTTGACACATGTGGTTACTCTGAAAGGGTCTGTCAATATGTTGTTGTGTGCCACTTTGCATTCGAAGCCATCTGATGATGTTGACAATTTTGAGTGGAATACCATAGTGTCTCAGTATCTTCCATAATGACTCACGGTGAAAGTTATCGAATGTCTTCTCGAAGTCAACAAATACTACATATAACGGGCTGTTCCATTTTGTGTCTGTTCCAGTATCGGTCTTTTGTTTAAAAAAAAGCGTTACACGAACGTCCTTTTCTAAAGCCCGCTTGCACTTTCCTCATAATGGCATTAATGGCTTCTGAGATACGTCTGAGGATAATACAGCAGATACGAGAAATCAGTGTTATACCCCTCCAGTTATTGCAGTTCTGCAGATTTTCTTTCTTAGGTATTTTGCAGATAAGACCAGTTTTCCATTTACACGTATCTGGTATTTTTTTCTGTGTGCCATATTTCCTGGAAAATATCTCTGGGAGTTATCTGTTCTTTCACTTTTAGCACCTCCGCACATATATCATCCTCACTTTTCCATTTTTAACTGCTATATGGCGTCTTTCACTTCGCTGACTGTAATGTTATCCAGACTCATGTCGAGGTCTATATCTGCCACAAGTTTTATACTACCAAAAATGATTTTTCTTGTTTTTGCTAATTCGTAGAATAAATAATAAAAGAACAAGAGATCGTTCGAAGATTCTTTTCTTGAAAATTTTCACAACAAGAACATTTTCTTATCTGCCTTAAAGTGAAGGAAAAATTTCTAGAAAATATTTATTCTCTTTAGAATGTTCTAAAAATTAAATTATATGATAGCGTTTTCCCTTTCCCTTTCTGGTATTTTTAATAGTGAGAAAATCAAGATATTAAAAAAAAACAGAAAAAACTAGAATAACATTTTTGAATTTTCTTTTTTTTATATCTAGAAACTTTAAAAAGGGAACTTACTGTTTTCTTGGGATGTTTTAGAAAAAGGAAGTTTTTTTGTTCTTGCCTTTCTTTACATAACGTTGCTGAGAAAAAACCTGAAGAAAAAATTGTTTCCTGACAGTTAGAATTTTGGTCTTGAACTAAAATCTTAGAGATAAGAAAGAAAGCGGTATATAATTGTATGATGAAAATGTCTGTCTTGAGGATAAAAAAATGCATTCCTGTTGTTGTAACAACAACACAATGCCACCGATCTTGTGTCCTTGGGAAAGGCACTCTACACGACTTTCCTCTCTTAACTCAAGTGAAAATGAGTATTGGCTTGTCCTGTATGTGTACTCTGTGTTGGTGGCGGCATAAAATAAGATATAGCTTGAGTGTGCCGTCGCTATGTTTGGTCATAAAATGTTGGAATAAAAAAAAAACTATGCAGATTGCTTTTCAAGTTGGATTCTAGATCTGCTGCTGCCGTCTCGGCATGATGTCTGGTTTTCGGCGTTCCTGGTAGCAAAAACACGTCCTACACCAGACGCGGGGGCTTGCTGACTGAGCTACGATACTAGACTAATATGGCATAAAAGCTTTCTCAACATTGTTAGGATCGGAAAGATCAAGTGAATAATATCGTATGAAGTATAGATTACAGTCTTTATGCAGAATGAACACCGAAAAACAACATGTTAATGAAATATGCTTCTATTTCTTATATTTTTTTAATCTCGTAAAACATTGCTAGATGTTAGTCTTAATTCCATCACGACAAGGTGCTTTTTATCCGTATTTTTACTTTCTTTGCATGCCCAACTTATAACCTGTATGACAATAGAGTTTGTGAAAACGCTTTTAACAGCACCACGACTGTATCTTCTATATCTTTCTCTGAAGTCAGTGACAAAGTCCTGATGTCTATAGAACCAGTTACTTTCCTCACAAGACAACGCTTGCCCGGTTTCCGTACATTAGAAGCTCGGCTTACTTTATAGGGAATTGATGACTCAAGCACAACCGAAACCAGAGTGATCATCTTTATCTTTACTCATAAGAAACAAACTTAAATTGATCCATGGTAAATCATGCTGTAATTAAATTGTTGACATGTTGTTACTGATTGTGCCACTGTTTGTAAAAAGCAGATTTACTCAGTTGATTATACTTTTAACCCTTAAGAACAGCCTTGTGTGTAAAGCTGCCCAGTGACATAAACAGCACCATTACCATTTGGTTACCACACATTAGAAGTCGGCTAAGCACGCCAAATGACATTATTGTCAATTAATCAATCAATCAATTAATTTTTTTTATTATTAAAACGTTTGCATCCATCTTGAATCGCATTTGCTTTCAAACGTCAGAAAGCTACTAGCATGATAACAATACAAGTTAAATGTTTGCAGTTATGTACTACTCGCATTTTTACAATGTAAAGAAATACCACGTTCAACTCGTTTGTTTTTATATGCTTCCTTTCAAGATGCCTAGTGAATGGGATGTGAATCAGCAGTACCTAATCTATTCGTTTATGCGCCTACAACGTCTATGATGTTGCCTTTCTACGATGTTGTTCTTAGCTTAAAGTGCATTTTATTGACGTTTTGGTTCATCGAAATATTCAATATGTTGACTGCAACGCCGATTGGCCAGAACTAGTTGTAGCCTTGCTACGATACCTATTTTTACGGGGATTACGAAACTTAGCAGCTAAAATTGACATGTTAAGCAGACTTTCTCAGTGTGTGTTGTTGTTTTCTTTCTCCTGTTTGTTTCCCGGTGTTACGTGTACCTCCTACACGCCGCCCTGTTGAACCTGGAGCGCCCTGGTGTGGCGATTGTGGCGCACGATCGGCCAGCGAGTCAGCCACGGCCCGTGATGAGTCGTGTCAAACTCGTCCACATCTTCACCCTGATGAAACAATATGACAAAATCAGCGAAAATCAGAGGCCATTAATGGGGGCCCGCATTCCCTTTTCCGTAGAGCGTAATCGGCCGTTTAAATTATATGTAGAGCGTAGACGGACCACTCAACGTAGAGTGTAATTGGCGCATTTTGCATTGGGCGTATTCGTCGTTTTGATTCTACGTAATGCGTTGTAGCAACTTGCAATTTATCGTCAAGCGTAATCGAGAGCTCTCACAATTTAGCGTAGAGCAGAGCTTTGTCGGGACCCCCCATGCAGGCCCCCATTAATATTGCAAGATACCTATCTAGTCCCTTGGGGACTACAATATGGGCACTAAGATATGTGAATCGAACACACTCCTACTTCCTCGAGTTATTTACTTTGAAGGCCTTATCTGCAGCCCCTTATACCGTCTAGGGGGCCCAACTGAATTATATAATAATCATAACTGTCTACATTACTCAATATAAACCTCAAACGGCAATGTCACCAAATAATTATCATAGCGTGTCCATAAACGTCATAACATAAGGTACAAAAACCTTCTGCCACAGTTCAAAAGCCGCCAGGGGCCAGAAATTAGAATTGCTCTTTGTTTTGCTGATACCCACCAATAAACTCAAATCTTTAACATTAATTCTCAATAGAATGCGATCTTGCACTTTTCTAAATATTCTTAGTGCGATCGTAATAATGTAAAACAATCCCTCCACCCCTGAGGCGTAGACAAAATACACTCACAGACAGCCCAGTGCTACTCTCTAGCTCGCTCCCGCGATCCGCGTTGAAGAACTTGTCCCATTCGCTCTGTGGCACCGCGTACATCGGGTCTTTGGCCGTGCGCATCAGAACAGGCTTGCGCTTCCCCCAGAACCCGTTAGGTTTGTCAGGGTGCTGCCAACGCAGGTCCAGGCTCCAACGGATGTTATCCGTCTTGTTCGGGAGGCTGTGAATTTTACGGAAGTAGTTCAGGTACATTTTTACCTCTATGAAAAACGGATGTATTGTTTCTGCCGTGTCCGTCGGTATGTTTCCGCAACTTTGTGGTCAGCATAACTTAAGAACGCCTTTACGGATTGTGATGATATTTAGTATGTTGGTACGTTTTAAGAAGACAAAGGTCAAGTTCAAATATGGGCCTCCTGGTAGATGACCTTGGTACTGCAGCAGAACTTCTAATTTTTGTATCTTTCGTGCTAATGTCATTTGCATGATTAATGAGAACAAAAACTCGTACAACAACTGCTCCTACAGCAATTGAAGCTATGATGACTGTACCATCATTAATAAATGTTCGTCGTATCTATGTCCATCCGCCTTTATAAGAGTACGTATTTAGGCAATATCAATGTTTAACCAATACCTCCTATGGGGGATGGCATTGTTGATGAACAGAACACCCCCATAAGGAACCTCACAAGTCACGACGTCCGTCTTTATGTTAACACCTAAAAGTTAGAAAAAAAGTCTTCATTAAAGCTGATCGTAGCTATAGGGTCACAACTGTTACGAGCGAAATTGTAGGTACTTTAAGCCCTCCAATAGTATTTTGCCTCCTTTCATAATTAAAGGATCCGGAACTACATGGAGGTAACGGGTGATAGCGATATATATATATATATATATATATATATATATATATATATATATATATAGTA